AAAGGAAAAGGAAATGGAGTCAAAGAATCCAGATCACCACCCAGGTTCCAGCATTGTCTCAGATCCAATAATCTTGGGTAGTGGGTGCACCGCAGGCAAAGTTTTCTGTTGCCTTTTAAAGTTAATTTTATCAGCTGATTTGCATACTTGACCGAGAGAGGCAGGTATTCCATGAGAGACGAGGGAAAGGTGGAGTGTGGGTTCTGTGCGTGTGTTGAGGGGCTGAGTCAGTGGTCGTGCTCCCCCCTACCACTTTTATTTTTTCCTCAGTTTTTGCCTCTTGGGCCGTTATCCATTTTCTCTCTCTTATTGATCTTTTAGCCCAACATACGGTTTTCCTCAGTCTGCATCTCCTCCCTTTCAGGCTTATCTAAGGAATTTGGCCACACAGCCTCAAGGGAGGGAGCTGCGCACCCTTCCATGCGCCCTGATGAATGTTTGAGGCATTCACCCCTTCAGTTACCTGCCCCCCCCCGGCTAGCACACACCCCCCCCCCCCAGCCCACCTGGCTGCCATCACCCAGCCGAGACTTGCCTTAAAATTAACTGGAAGTTCCTCGCAAACGGCCAATTCGTGGGGCTGCGCAGCATCCACGCCCCTAGCAGGGATGGCACCGGGTGGAGGTGGGTGGTGGTGGTGGGGGGGGGGTCCCCAGCTCCTGGGCTGCACACCAGCTTCCCCCCCGCCCCAACTCTCCCGCAGGTGAAGGAGCTGGAGGAGCAACTGGGGAGGCGGCCGGAGCCGGAGGAGCTGGAAGTGGCCCGAGCTGCCCTGGCCGCGGCGGAGGATGAGAACCAGCAGCTGAGGAAGAGGCTGGGGGAGGCCGAGGGGCGGCTGGCGGGGTTGGAGGAGGAAGGTGGGTGGCTTCCCCGCGCGGGGGGGCTGCCCACGGTGCCGCCTGGGGTGGGAGGCGGGGGGGGGGACCAGGCTCCCCAACACAGCCCCAACCGCACCCCCCTTTGCAGTGGGGTGGCTGCAGGAGAAGCTGGCCCAGGACCCGTCGCCCCCCGAGCCGGCTGCGCCCGCGCCGCCGCCGCCACCGCCGCTGCCACCGCCCGCCCCACCGTCCCCGTGGAGTAAGTGACACGGACGGGCAGCGCCCGCTCACCTCTGGAAAGCAGCTCCGGGGCTTCCAGCTCGTCTCTGCCGGAGCAAATAAGCCGGGTTGGGGCGGGGGGCAAAACCTTCTCCCTGCCCCACCCCATCGCTCTCGCCCGCCGTGCCAGGCTGTCCCCGAGCCGTGCCCCAGCATCGTCCCCGGCAGGAGGGGCAGGGTGCGGGGTGGGGGCCAGCCCCCCCCATGGGATTTTGGGGAAGATGAGGTGTGCCTGGCTCAGAGATGGTGGTGGGCACACTGGGCATTGCGCCTGGCTTTTTGGGGGGGTGCAGCTCGGCCAGGCTCTCACCTCCCCTCTCCCTTCCAGCCCGCTCTCGGCAATCAGGCAGAGGAAGGGGCTGGCAAAGCTGCAGCACAGTAAGTGTCGTGTCCCCCCCCCCCGGCTGCCCCGCTGCAACCCGGGGGGGTCCCAGTGCCGTGGTGGGGGGCTCCCCAGCAGTGCCGTGGCCACGGGAGGGCCCCTGGGCACTGGAGGATGGGGCTTCATCGGCTTTGCCAGCGCCACACTGGTCCAGGCATCTCCCATCCACCCCAAAATGTCCAAGGTCCTGTTGTGGGGTGCCGAGCGCCCTCCCAGCCCCCCCTGCTCCCCAAAGGGTCCTGGCACCCTGTACTGCCCGGCACGGGTGGAAGATCAGGGTCGTATCCTGGGTCACAGTTGGGTTTGGGCTCGTGGGAGGGACCCCGGGTACGGGGGAGCTGCGGGGAGGTGGCACCTCCCCACCTGCAGCAGGGACCGAGCCCTGTCACGAGCGCGTGGGGTCTCAGCACGGCGCTCCCCGCGCAGGCCAGCCAGGAGCCGACGACGTTAAAGCTCGGGCCGTGCAGGAGATGATGGAGCGGATAAAGAACGGGGTGGTCCTGCGGCCCGAAGGAGCGGGGGCCCCCGGAGCAGGTGGGCAGCGACCTGGGCTTGGCCGCTGCCAGACACCCCCATCCCGTGGAGGTGGTGGTGGTGGTGGTCCCCGGGGACCCCCGGAGTGGGTGTGGGGAGCGCAGGCAGGATGCGGCCGCATCTCCTCCCACCCCCTCCCGCAGGGTCCGGCGGCTAGTAAGCGGAGGAGCGCGGTGCTGGAGCTGCAGGGCATCCTGGTGAGCAGCGACGTCCCAGCTCGATGCGGGGGACACACACATATGCACCCACTCACACCCCCCACGCCCCCCACCCCACCCCGGGCCATCACGCTGGGACACACCGCCACCGTCCCCAGCTGCAGCCGTCCTGCGTGGGCTGCGTCGGGGGGGGGGGTGCTGGTGCCTGGAGGTGGCCGTGCGGGGTGGTCCTTAGGGTGCCGTGAGGAGGGCGAGCGGGCGGCGGAGCAGCGCGAAGGGCAGGGACGGGCAGCTGGAATTCATCTTGCAGCGCCGGCGCCGGGCGCTGGATGCCACCCTGGGCCCCCCCGGCCCCCCCCGCAGGACCGTGAGGATGCTGGGGCTGCGGGGAGGCCGGGTGCTGGTACGGAGCAGGTTGGGGGGTGAAGGGGGGGGCTTGTGCTGGGTCACCCTGCTATGAGAACACCCGCGGGGGCCGGCGCAGAGGTGACACCCACGCTTGTCCCCGCTGATGCTCCGCGGTCCCTTCCCGTCACCGGTCCCGGTGACAAGCTCCCGGGCGATGGCCCGCGTCCCCGCGGGCTCTTGGCGCTCGCTCCCACCCCGCTTCACATCTCCCCGTCTGTCTGTCTGTCTGTCTCTCCCCAGGGGACAAGGACGTCGACACGGCTCCGTCCAGCTGCTCACCAGGGAGCGGGGACGGGGTCCCGTTCCGACCCCGGGCGGTGGGTGGTCTCCCCAGGACCCGGCCCTTCACCCGCCCGGCCGGGGGCAGGGGGGGGCTGGGGTAGAGCCCCCCCCCCCCCTGCCCTTTACTTGGCGGAGACGGCTGCTGCAAGCTCTCACCCTCATCTTCCAGCAGCTCCCATCCTCTCGTGTTTTAATTAAAAAGAGGTGGCACCGGTGTGTGTCCCCCCCCCCAGCTGCAATGTCACCAGAGGGGCACGTCTTGCTGGGCGAGGGGGTGGCACAGTGGGACAGGGCTGGGGATGGCACTGGAGCTGCTGCAAACTGGTCCTGGCAAGAGACCCCCCCCCCACCCCACCCGGAGCGGGGCACCCACCCTCCTGCCACCCTAGGGTGCCCAGCAGCCGGGCAGGGCTGCGCGTAACGTGGCAAGGCAAAACCCCCAGACCCGTGAAGCTCTCGGGTTTGCCATTAACACACACACCCCCCCCCCCCAATTCCACAGGCAGCCCCCGCCGGGAGAGCCCCATCTCAGCAGGAGGGGGGTCCAGCCCCGGGGAGGGCTCGTGGGGCCACACTCTGCAGCCACAGCTGTGGGATGGGGCTCCCCCAAACTGCCAGCACGTCGCTTGGGGATCAGGCCCAGCGTTCCTGGGCTCCCAGTTGGCTCCATGCTCCCCCCCCCACGTACCCCGACACCCAGCTCAGGGGGTGAACGGTCCCCCCAGGCACGCAGCTCTGAGGCTGGGGTCCCCAGGGAGCCGGCAGACCCTTAGTCACTCCAAGGGCTGGTGCTCTTAAGCACTGGGGTCAGCAGGAGATGGGGTTTCCCCTCAAGCTGCTCCCCAAAATTTGCTGCTCCGGAGGAGGAGCTCTGGGGCCGCTCCCAAACCCCCCCCCCCAGTCCCGAGGAGCTTTCAAGCCCCAGCTGTTCCTTTTAAATCCAAAGAGCCACAAAAACTGAATTTAATTGTGGTTTCTGCAGCTCGGCTGCCTTGTTGCGGGCAGGAGCTGCCGGGCAGGGGCAGAGCAAGCGAGAGAGCATCCTCCTGCCTTGCACCAGGTGCTTAATTAGCCGGGGGCAACCCCCCCCCCCCCGTCTCCTCTCGGGGCTGGTTTTAGTGCAGATAAACCCGCATAGCTCGGGTTCAGAACTCGCAGCAGGGAGGACGGGCCGGGTCCGGGCTAAAACCCAGGAGAAAAGGGCTCCACCACCATCGCCCCAGCGTGGGGTTTTGGGGAGGGGGGGGAAAGCCACGTGCCGGAGAGGCTGGTGGGTCCTCAAGTGTCCCTTCCCCGGGCGGAGGGGCCACCCCTCCCTTTGGAGGATGCCGCGGGGACGCAGAGGGGGTCAGGGCAGGTTTGTGCTGCCGGTCACTTACGGGGAGGGGTGAGGCCCCTATAGAAGCAGGCACGTACATCTGGCACCCCCTACAGAAGGCTGAGCCAGGGCTGCTCAACCCTGGGGGACAGGCAGGATGCAGGCAGGACCATTTGGGGGTTTTTTTTTTGTTTGTTTTTTTCTTTCCCTAAATAGTTTATTCAATTGTGCAAAAGCGCAGGCGGGAGCAGCCGGGACTGCGGCTGCTCCCGGGGCTGCAGCTCCTTCCAGGAGTTAATTACCCTCCCCATCAAGAACAGACGCCTCAGTTGCAGTCTGGATTTACGCACCTTCCGCTTCCAGCCAACGACCTCACGATGCCTTTTTGCAACAATTAAAAGAGCTGTCTGGGGTCAGAGCGAACAGCCCCAAGGAACACGGACGCGCCAGGAACGCGGCGGCCTCAAAGGGCGAGCGGTCTCCTCCGCAGCCGAGGAGGGGACAGGTCCCCTCCCGGGCACCGGCGGCCCCCCCGCTCCCCAAGGACAGCCAGGACAGGCTGCTGTGCCAGCACTCCATCCCTCTGCTTTTTTTTTTGTTTTGTTTTGTTTTAAAACACATCTTCTTTCTCCTTCTCGAAGAGCGTAGGTAACTTGAACTAAAATATTTAAGGCAAGGAGCTTATCTTTCTAATCACCAAGCGTTTCTCACCCCGGCCTTTCCATTCTCCAGGCACCTGAGGGCTGCCGTGTGGAAAGCAGACAAGGACAGGCTGCTCGCGAGCCCTACGAGCTCCCCAGCCTGACGGATGAACGTCAGCCCGCGGAACAGATCCTCTTCCTGGAAAAGAAGGCGAGAGCCGCCGGGACCAGTTCGGAAAACCCTGGGAGGCTGCCCCCGCCCTTCCCCTTTCCCTGGCCGGAGCTGGATTTCTCCAAATCCAGCTTTTGGGGTGATTCCCAGCACAAGGGGACCCGGCACCCCCCGGCTCTGGCATTTCGATCCCCGCTGACGTCACCCCCTCCCCGGCTCGGCGCTGAGCAGGGGGGGAAATGCCGCGGCCCGAGCGCGGTTACTCATCGGCAGCCTGCCCTTTCCCACCGCCGCGCTGCCCGCTCCGTATCGAGTGAATTCCTCTCCTCTGATTACACCCTCCAAACGCCCGTGAAAATCAATGCCAGCTCCGCTCCCGCGGGACGGGAGAGCCGGGGCTGCACCCTCCCCGAGCCGGGGGGGGGAGCTCCGAGCCGGCAGAGACGCACCTGCTCACCTACGGGACTTTTAAATCCTTCATCAACGCGGTAACTCACGCTTCTTTGGAAGCCGGAGCTTCCCGCAAACCCTCTGCGGGCGGACTCCGGAGCGCCCTTGCCTCGTCCCCGTGAATAACGAGGGATTATATATCTTAATTCCCCAGATTTCCCGGCGTCCCCATGTCTCGGGGCAAGGAACGGGGTATTTTGACCCACGCCGGGCGCGTTTCCAGGAGCCAACCCTCCCTGCTTAGAGCAGGAGCCGAGCAGAGCCCTCGTGGCGTTACCTTCTCCCCACGCAGGGGGATTTTTCTGATGCCTGCCTTTTAAATATTTATAGGGTTTCACTCGCTATCATCTGGTTCCGCCACTTTTCTTTGAGCTGAACCAGATTCAGGTAAGCGTGTCACTAACATCTTAAAACACCCGGTGATCACAAGCAGTAGTCAGGAAAAACGGACTTGTCATCTGGGAAAAAAACACAAAGTAATCTACCCTCGCTTTCTGGCGAAGTGAACGGGAAAATGAGGATTAAAAAGGCTGGGCAGAAGGGACATTAAGGCGACTGATCTTCCCCGCTGCCATCCTACCCGCTGGCTCAGGACTCCCTGAAGCCCTCCACCCCGCCCGGCTCTCCCCGCCGCGGCAGTGACGGCTCTCACGGAGTTTTCCATCCCTCCCGTGTCACATCCACAGGGATAAAACGGAATTTAAACCCCGACCCGAGCCCGGCGAGCGGCCCTGCCCCACACATCACGCAGCCCCAGCCCGAGGGGGGGGGTTTCACCTCGCCCACCCTGGCCCATCTGGCTGCACCCGAGGCGAGCTGCGAACACACATCCAGGAGCTCCGCATCCCTCCTCCGCGGCTGGAAAGTTATTTTTTTTTTCTTTTCAGCCGCAGTTTTAACGCTGTCAGGGAAGGGGGAAAAGCAGGGGACGGCGCGCAGGCCCGGTGTCCCCCACCCCGGGGCCTTGAAGCAGAATTACAGCACGGCACCCGAGCTGGGGAGCCGCTTTTCCAGCAGCTTCCCGGCGCTCCGGGCCAGGCCGATGGGTTTTCTCCCACCCGTGCCCTCGCCCCTTCTCGTGTGCTTCGCTTCCAGTGCTTTTCCCTTCCTTTTTCTGACACCCCGATACCCAAGAGCTCCGCGCTGAAACACGCACCCCCTGCTGACCCCCCCCGGGGAGCGGCGCTTCCCAAAGCCTCTGCGCTGCGCCTCCTGCAGCCCTCTAGTCCCCTCCGTCACTCTCTCATCCTCCGCTATTTCTCTAAAAACATCAAAAATAATCCGGGGGCTGTTCCCTCACGCGACACCCCCCCCCCCCCCAACTCAACACGGGAGCCCAACGCTGCACCCAGCCTCTCCCATACGGCGAACTTCATCTACAGCCTTTATTAGAGGAGCAGCTCTCCAGCAGAAACCACACTTCTGTTAAATCAGCATCAACACACGCCAGCGTTAGCGGGGAGGGGGGGGCCCTGAACAAACCCGGGGGGCAGGGAGGGCGTGGTGGGACCGCGGGCCTCACCTTCGCCTTCAGCCAGAACTGGCTGGGAGGGGAAAAAAAAAATGTGCCACTTTCCTCAGAAACGCCTCAAAAAGCCTTCCTGAATCGTGAAACCACGCTGCCGGGGCAATCCTGCGCTACAGCCGCGCGCGGCCCCGGCTCCGGGCGGGCACGGGGAGATCTAGTTCTGGCACAGGCTGAACGAAGCAGGAAAGAGGAAAAAGGTGGGTTTTTTACGATTACAAGAACCAAGAACAAAGGGTTCTCCTCCTCAGTGTGATAATTTTTTTTTTTTTTTTATCCCCCTCTAGGAAAGGAGGGAGGCCCGGCGAGTTCAGCAGCGCTGGGGAGGGCGAGCAGACGACACCCACGGGAAGCCGAGAATCGCCCTCCGTGAAACGGCTTCGCGGGGCCGCACCGGGCAAAACCAGAGGAAAATGGGTATTCCCAACATTAAAATCAAACAAAAAGCTACGCTGAGTCCTTCCAGACTCGGGGGGACGCCAGCATCCTCCAGCGCTGGCAGGCTCCCAGCGGAATATGCAGGAGTTCAACAGTTTGGTGACTTGGTTTGGTTTTTTTTTTTTTTTTTTTTTTTTAATTAATGGCTCTGTGTAAACCTCAGTTAAACGTCGAGCACGTTCCGCTGCCGCGCCAAGGGAACCGTTTCCCCCACGGCCAAACTACACCACGTGCAAAACTCCCGGCTTTTAAACCCCAGCAGGTGACACCAGCTCCCAGGTCCCTCACCTGGAGCCAAACATCCTTCCTGCACACAGCCCCCGGGGCGGGGGATCATCGGAGCTGGAATAAAAAGGCGCGAGCCCCTGTCCAGCGCTGCTGGCACCTCCGGCCATCGCCCAGTTTATCCCATCCCAGAAAAATCCCGTCGAGAGACAACGGGGGAGGGCTGGAGAGAGGCCTGGGGGGCGGCGCTGCCTCGCAGCCCGCGGCACAGTCTGGGTCTGCCCTGCTCCCTCACCGCAGCCGGGGCTCAGTAAATCTTCTGTCGGCTGGGCAGGATGGCCTCCTTGATGAAAGAGAAGATGAGGAGGATACCGGAGCGCTTGCCCCTCTTCCCTTTGGTGAAGTAGTTGGAGACCACGTCGTCTGCGGAGAGGAGGGAAGGGCGATCAAACGCAAACCCGCTGACCCGGTGAGCCCTGGTGCGGGGCATCCGATCTCAGGGTGAGGCTTGAGCCGCTTTTAAAGCGCAGAAGCCACTGACAGGGAGCCCAAATCCTGAGCTGCCTTTCCTTCAGCCGTGGGGAGAGGCTGAGGAACGCCACGGGAGAGATGCAGGAAGAGCCCTCCACTCTGCTCGCCCCCCCCCCCCTTTTCCTGCCTCGTTTTTTTTGGGAGGGTTTACCCCTTCTGCGCAGAGGGAACGGGGGTGCTGAGCACAGCCCCTGTCAGACACCAGCCCAGGCCTCACCTCCAGGCTGCACCGTGGAAGGCAGGACGTTTTCTCCAGCCGACAGGGAGACGAAAAATGCAAAAGGGATTAACCACAGGCAAAAGGTGAAGTAGGCGAGAACCTGCGGGCAGAGCAAAGGCGGTGAGAGCAGAGCTGCAACGCGCTCAGAGGCCTTCAACACGCTGACTGCTGTCCGGGCTGACGCCCGCCAGCCCTGCCCCAGCCCCAGCCGCACCTCCCTACAATACACCCCAAGTTTCTACCTGAACCCCTCGAGGGAAAGGGCACCGAAGGGGGAGAACGGCAACGCAACTTTTCCCAAGTCTCTTAGGTGCTGAGACAGCGTCGTCCTGCGAAGCTAAGGGGATAAAATTCACCCAGCACCTTCCACAGAAGGACAGGGCACACAGGAAAAGCCCTCGCTCCTGTCCGGAAAACCCTGCCTGCTCCCAAACCCCAGAATTTTAAAGACTGCAATTAAAAAAAAAAAAAAAAAAACAGGAAATTGGCTGTGCCCTTATGACTAATTAAATCCTCTTCACACCCGAGACCCAGACCTCTCCTCCCGCCCCGGGGTGGGACGCAGGAGTCAGCGCTCTGGGGAGAGGGGAAGAGGTGTCGAGCTGCCACACCAGCCTCCTCCTGCACACAAACACTGGAGGAGCGTTAAACTTCATCAAAAGGTGGCTGGGTGGTGTTTTGTTTTGTTTTTTTTTTTTTTTATTTTGGTGGAGGTTTTTTTCCATTTCTTTTTAAAATTTGCACTAAGTGGCAGCTACTGTCGGGCCCAAAACGAGCCCCTTGGTGGATCTGGGCCTTCGTCCGGGCAGGTGTGAGGATGGTGACACAGAGGGATTAGCACATCAGAGGCATAAAAATAACGAGGAGCAATTATTCCGAAAGGGAAGTGAATTGTGGTTAGCTCGTACAAAAACATTTTAAAAAAATATTGTCTACTTTTCCTAGTTCTCAGCATTTCAGAGAAAAAAACAAAACTATCTGTGCTTAAGATTCAGTATTTTTTCTGCCCTTCAGCTGGCTGAGAAAGCCCCAAGCCCACAGTCAAGAAAAGACACTGCAGCTTCCCTGGGACTTCTGAGGGAACAAGCACGGGAACCCCTAGGGAAGGTCTGTGAAAAATATTCTTGGTGTGTCTTACTGCTGACCGAAAAAATGACATTTTCCTCTTCCCTCCTCCCACCAGCAGCTCCACGCCGGCTGGAAAAACACAGATTGACTCTTTCCCAAAGGTCTCTCACCTCAGAGAACAGGTAATACTCCTCAGCGAAGTACTGGAACGCTAAGTAGTGATTGAATATAACCAGCACTGCCAAAGAAAAACACAGCACAGTCAGTCTCCAGCCTGGAAGAAACCGAAGAGGACAAACCACCTCCACTGCCCTGCGAGGAACAGCTCCTCCCCGCCGCTAAAATATTTTCACGCATCTAGTGAGAAAGGGGTGTTGAGCAGCCAGAGCATCCCCATCCCAGCCCCAGTTTGTGCCTCTCCGCAGCCCTGGCCGAGTCCCGTGTCCCCGAGGGCACCCTGGAGAGCCCAGCCTGACACCTGCTAATGCTGTGCAGCGCTGAGAGAAGCAGTGAAAAAAAAAAAAAAAACCCCAAGTCCCCGAGAGCTGCTGTGGAGAGCAGCTCTTCTGCCATCTGTAAACCAAGTCAAGCTGAAATGTGGCCAGGACAGCAGGATTAACGCTGTCCTCGGCAACGAAAAACACTGTTTCGCTCTTAAGAGGCGGGAAGCGGAGCTTCTTTCGCTTTTTAGTTAAGATGCCAAGACAGCAGCCCCAGCCCAGGAGAGCCCCAGGAAGAGACAGCCCCGACACAAAACGCGGCTTTATCGTCCTCTCCGGCCTGAGGACGTCACTGAAGATCCAGAAGAGCCCGGCTCTGCCAGGAAACGCAGCTCCTGACCCACACACCACGGGAGAGCTACGCTCCTTTTCAAGTAGCGGCTAAAATCCTGCCCACGTGGATGCTCCGAGAAGCAAAGGTGTTTTAGTCGTAGGCAGGCTAAAGGGCTCCACGCTGGAAGAAATTTGTTACTTAAGGTGTCACTGCAAATCACTCGGAGCAGGGATGTGAAGTCAGATCTGTGCACAGGACACTAAAATATGTAGGAGACTCGGCAACTCACAGTGGGAGGAAACCAAAAACCAGTTTAATTGGCAGAGCAACTGGTCCCCCAGCCCAGCCCCGGCAGCAGAGCTCCTCCCGGGTTCAGCCCGCGACGTGGCTTGGGCTGCTCGTGGCAGACAGACGAGTGAGCTGGCTGCTGTGGCCAAAACAGAGGTGCTGCTAATTCAAGCCCCCTAATTAGCTGCGCCCACCAGCCAGGAGGCAAATGGGAAAAATTAAAAAAAAAATAAAATAAAATATCCTGATTTAATCTCAGCAACGCACTTTTCTAACAGGGCTTTCTGCCGCAAAGCTGACAAATTTCCATGTTAACTGTGGACTTTTGTCTCAAAGCTTTTCTTTCTCTACACACCAGCTCCCCCGACGATGACGCACACGCACCGTCCCGCGCAGCCCTGCCTGACATCAGGCTGTAATTACCTCACACTGCGTTTTTAAAGTTTGCTTCAAAACCCTTTGGTTCTTTACCAAAATCCAGTGAATGCCCAGAACAGGACGCTGAGTTTCAGGCCAGCCAGGATCTCGTTTCCCCAGCGCTGCCACGCGAGTTTGGAGCAGAACCGGCTGGAGGGTGAAGCAGAGGGTGCCCGGGAAATCTCGGCATCCCCGGCTCTGCACCGGGGTACGGAACCGAAGGCGCTTGCCACGCCGCCGGGCCCAGCCACAATTATCACAGCCACATCATAAAACGCAATTAAAAAGCCCCGCACGAAAGCTCAAAGTCCTTTTAAAAGAAGCCACGGGGGCGGCCAACAGCAAACCCCAAACCTTTGCTGCCACCCAGAGCCCGGCTGGTGAGGGAGGGGACGCGCCCCCCCCCCCCAGCCCCAGCGCCCACTCACCGCAGGACAGGATGAAATTGGAGGACGTCAGGACGATGAAGGGGAAGGTCTGCAGCAACCCGAAGTAAACCAGGTTGGTGAAGAGCCCCACGCCCACCATGAAACCGGGAAAGTGTTCAAAGAGGTAGAGGCCGACCAGCACGGCCGAGGAGAACTGGAAGAGAGAAGCGGGGAGGCGGGGGTTGCCCGGGGCAAACACGGGGGTGCGGGAACCCGGCCGCCATCACGGGGATTTCGAGGCTCTGCCAGCACCTCATCTCCCCCACGCACCTCCCGCTCGGCGCCGGCTCCCCCAAACGGGAATCCCACCTTGCTGCCTCTCAAGTTTCCCCAGCCGAGGGGGAGGGACGCAGGTGTCGCCCAGGAGGGGTTATCACCCCCCCCGCCAGCCCCCCGTTAAGCGAGGGGCTGATTGAAGCAGCCTCTGCCAACCTCCTTCCTCAGGAGCCGGAGCCGTCTCGGGGCAGCAGGAGCCTCCCAAGTGCCGGTTCCCTCCATCCCGTGCCACGGCTGCTGCCCCGGGAGGGGGGGGGGGGCGTGATTTTTGGTGGGGAGCGACAGGGAAACTTACCCAGATCATGTATTTGATGATCCTCCGCGTGACAACCGTGTACTCCTCGATCAGCTCCGCCAGGTAGTACAGCCCGGCGGCTGCGGGAGGAACGGCCGGCTCAGCCCCAGCGCCCCGGAGGGACAGAAGGGCAGGGGGTGACACACACACCCCACCCACCCCACACCCCCCCCCCCGCAACTCGCAGGGGTACCCAGGGAACCCCCAAACTCCGGGGCTTCCACAGGACTTCGGGGGCCTTGGGGACACCCATGGGAAACTCCCAAACTCTGGGAGTTCCACAGGACCTCAGGGGCACCCGTGGGACTCCCCCAAACTCTGGGGCTTCCACAAAACTTCGGGGGGCTTGGGGACACCCGAGGGACCCCCCTCCCCCAAAACTCTAGAGCTTCCACAGAGCCTTGGGGACACCCACGAGACCCCCCCAAACTCCGGGGCTTCCACAGGACTTCGGGGGCCTTGGGGACACCCATGGGAAACTCCCAAACTCTGGGAGTTCCACAGGACCTCAGGGGCACCCGTGGGACTCCCCCAAACTCTGGGGCTTCCACAAAACTTCGGGGGGGCTTGGGGACACCCGAGGGACCCCCCTCCCCCAAAACTCTAGAGCTTCCACAGAGCCTTGGGGACACCCACGGGACCCCCCCAAACTCCGGGGCTTCCACAGGACTTCGGGGGCCTTGGGGACACCCATGGGAAGCTCCCAAACTCTGGGAGTTCCACAGGACCTCAGGGGCACCCGTGGGACTCCCCCAAACTCTGGGGCTTCCACAAAACTTCGGGGGGCTTGGGGACACCCGAGGGACCCCCCTCCCCCAAAACTCTGGAGCTTCCACAGGGCCTTGGGGACACCCACGAGACCCCCCCAAACTCCGGGGCTTCCACAGGACTTCGGGGGCCTTGGGGACACCCATGGGAAGCTCCCAAACTCTGGGAGTTCCACAGGACCTCAGGGGCACCCACGGGACTCCCCCAAACTCTGGGGCTTCCACAAAACTTCGGGGGGCTTGGGGACACCCGAGGGACCCCCCTCCCCCAAAACTCTAAAGCTTCCACAGAGCCTTGGGGACACCCACGAGACCCCCCCAAACTCCGGGGCTTCCACAGGACTTCGGGGGCCTTGGGGACACCCATGGGAAGCTCCCAAACTCTGGGAGTTCCACAGGACCTCAGGGGCACCCACGGGACTCCCCCAAACTCTGGGGCTTCCACAAAACTTCGGGGGGCTTGGGGACACCCGAGGGACCCCCCTCCCCCAAAACTCTAAAGCTTCCACAGGGCCTTGGGGACACCCACGAGACCCCCCCAAACTCCGGGGCTTCCACAGGACTTCGGGGGCCTTGGGGACACCCATGGGAAGCTCCCAAACTCTGGGAGTTCCACAGGACCTCAGGGGCACCCGTGGGACTCCCCCAAACTCTGGGGCTTCCACAAAACTTCGGGGGGCTTGGGGACACCCGAGGGACCCCCCTCCCCCAAAACTCTAGAGCTTCCACAGAGCCTTGGGGACACCCACGAGACCCCCCCAAACTCCGGGGCTTCCACAGGACTTCGGGGGCCTTGGGGACACCCATGGGAAGCTCCCAAACTCTGGGAGTTCCACAGGACCTCAGGGGCACCCGTGGGACTCCCCCAAACTCTGGGGCTTCCACAAAACTTCGGGGGGCTTGGGGACACCCGAGGGACCCCCCTCCCCCAAAACTCTGGAGCTTCCACAGGGCCTTGGGGACACCCACGAGACCCCCCCAAACTCCGGGGCTTCCACAGGACTTCGGGGGCCTTGGGGACACCCATGGGAAGCTCCCAAACTCTGGGAGTTCCACAGGACCTCAGGGGCACCCACGGGACTCCCCCAAACTCTGGGGCTTCCACAAAACTTCGGGGGGCTTGGGGACACCCGAGGGACCCCCCTCCCCCAAAACTCTAAAGCTTCCACAGAGCCTTGGGGACACCCACGAGACCCCCCCAAACTCCGGGGCTTCCACAGGACTTCGGGGGCCTTGGGGACACCCATGGGAAGCTCCCAAACTCTGGGAGTTCCACAGGACCTCAGGGGCACCCGTGGGACTCCCCCAAACTCTGGGGCTTCCACAAAACTTCGGGGGGCTTGGGGACACCCGAGGGACCCCCCTCCCTCAAAACTCTGGAGCTTCCACAGGGCCTTGGGGACACCCACGGGACCCCCCCAAACTTCGGGGCTTCCACAGGACTTCGGGGGCCTTGGGGACACGCGTGGGACCCTCCCAAACTCTGGGGCTTCCACAAGACCTCTCGGGAACACACAGAGGCCTCGGGGGCCCCTATGGGACCCCCCCCAAACTCTGGGGATTCCATGGGACCTTGGGGAGCACCCATGGGACACCCTCAGACTCTGAGGCTTCCACAGGACTTCGGGGGCACCCAGAGGCCTCAGGAGCACCCATGGGACCCCCCCCCCCCCCCCAAACTCTGAAGCTTCCACAGGACTTCGGGGGCCTTGGGGACACGCGTGGGACCCTCCCAAACTCTGAGGCTTCCACAAGAACTCTGGGGCTTCCACAAGACCTCAGGGGCACCCAGAGGCCGCAAGGGTGTCCATGGGACCCCCCCCCCTAAACTCTGGAGCACCCCGGGACCGCCGGGAGCTGCTGGAACCGGGTGCCAAGAGCAGCCCAGGCTACCCCCCTCCCTGGAGCCACCCCCGTAGCGAGAAACACACGACTTATCGCGACAACCCCCCCGTGAGAAACCTGCGGCTGGGCCCAGACCCGCCCCCCCCCCCCCCCCCACAACCGCCGCCCCCCCGAGAGTCCCGGCAAACCCCCGTCGGCGGGCTCACCGATCGCCAGGGTGACGAAGGCCACCTGGATGAGCAGGGAGAGCCAGCTCAAGGCGTAGATGAACCACATGGCGGGGCCGGGAGGGGCCGGGCCGGGCCCCGCCGCCGCCGGGGCCTGCTCCCGCTGCGGCGGCCGCGCTGACCACGCGGCGCCGGAACAAGAGAGACGAGGCCGCCGCCCGGCCCGCCCGCCGCCGCCCGGCGCTACGGCGACCCCTGCAGGAGCGGAGGGCTCGCCAGCCGCTTGCCGCGGAGCCCCGGAAGGGGGGGGGGAAGGGAGGGGGGGGGGGGGGTGAACACCCCGAAATGTACAGGGGCACCCCAAAACTGTACAGGGACCCCGAACCGCCGGGGGGGGTGGGGGACACACATCGAAACTCACAGGGACACTGCGAAACCGTATGGGACACCCCCCCCCAAAACTGTACAGGACTCCGAATCATACAGGGACACCCCCAAACCACACAGGGACCCCCAAACCGTGCAGGGACCCCGAATTATACAGTATGGGACCCCCTCAAAACTGTACAGGACTCTGAATCAAACAGGGACACCCCCAAATTACACAGGGACTCCCAAACTGTACAAGGACCCCGAAGTATACAAGGACACCCCCACCCCCCCCAAACCGTACAGACACTCTGAACCCTACAGGGACACACCCCCCCCCTCAAAACTATACAGGGACCCCCAAACCGTACAAGGACCCCGAAGTAGACAGGGACCCCCCCAAAAAAAACTGTACAGGGATCCCTAACTGTACAGGGACCCCCCCAAACCATACAGGGACCCGCCAAACCCCAGAGGGACCCCCAAAGCGTACAGGGACCCCGAAGTAGACAGGGACCCCCCCAAACCGTACAGGGACTCTGAACTGTACAGAGATACCCCACCCCCAAACTATACAGGGACCCCCCAAAGCGTACAGGGACCCCGAAGTATACAGGGACACCCCCAAACCGAACAGGGACACTCCAACTGTACAGGGACCCCCAAAACCATATAGGGACCCCGAACCACACAGGGACGCCCCAAAACCGTACAGGGTCACCTAACTGCACAGGGACCCCCCAAACTCTACAGGGATGCCCCAAAAGCGCAGGGGGACCCCAAACTGCACACACACACACACACCCCAATTATATGGGGACCTCGTACTGTATGGGGACACCCCAAAACCGTCCGGGGACCCCCAAACCACACACAGACACACACCCCCAAACCGTACAGGAACCCCAAACTTTATGGGCACCCCCTAAACTGTACAAGGAACCCCCCAAACCTATATGGGGGACACCCTGAAACCACATAGAGCCCCCCCCCCCGCACCCACAGAGGGACCTCCTGCGGCGGTACAGGGGTGCCCCCACTCATTGGGGGGTTCCTCTGCACCCCTACAGGGACCCCCTCACACCCATGTAGGGACCCCAGCACCCATATCGGGGCCCTGCAGCTTTGGGGTGCTCTTAGCACCTTCCTGCACCCCCCCCCGCACCCTTTTGCACCCCTCCCGTCCCCCTGCACCCCCCCGCACCCCTTTGGCCCCCTTGCACCCCTCTTGCACCCCCCTTGCACCCCTCTGGCCCCCTTGCACCCCTCTTGCACCCCTCATGTCCCCCTGCACCTCCCTTCTGCGTCCCTTCTGCACCCCCCCCGCACCCCCTTGCATCCCTGCACCCCCCCGAACCCCTCCTGTCCCGCCTGCCCCTCCTTGCACCCCTCCTGCCCCCCTTCACCCCCCTGCACCCCCCTGCACCCCTTTGCACCCCCCTGAATCCCCTTACACCCCCCTGACCCCCCCTGAGCCCCCCTGGACCCCCCTTGCACCCCTCCTGCCCCCCTGCCCCCCCCCTGCATCCCTTCTGCACCCCCCCGCACCCCCTTGCATCCCTGCCCCCCCTGCGCCCCCCCTGCGCCCCCTCTGATCCTCTCCTGTCCCCCCCTTGCACCCCCCTGCACCCCCTTGCACCCCTCCCGCCCCCCTTTTCACCCCCCCATCCCTCTCCATCTCCCCTGCACCCTCCAACTCCCCTCCCGCCCCCCCCCCCGGATGCCCCCCCCCCCCAGGCAAAGGGGGGGGCGGTGTTGCCAGCAGCACCCCGTTATCGCGGGGGGGGGGCGGGTGGGTGAGTGCGGGGGGGGGGGCGCACACAGCGGGTATGTGCGGGGGTGGGGGGTGGGGGTGTGCGCATGGGGTTTATGTGCCGGGGCGGGGGGGGGGAGCATGGGGGGTACATGGATGAGGGGGTGTGATATGTGCGCGGGGGGGGGGCTGCGTGGGGTGCACACGCGCGTGGGATGCGTGTACGTGGGCTGTATGTGTACGGGGGGTGGGGGATATGGGGGTGTACCTGTGGGGGGGGTGCGTGGGAGGGTGGGGGGGTGCAGGGGTGCACATGCTTAAAGCACCACGGCACGGCGGGGGGGGGGGTCCCGGCGCTCACCCCGGGGGGCTCCGTGACCGAGCGCTGACCCCCACGCGGAGGGGCTCCAGCCCCCCCCCAGCCCCGGGGCCGCCCCAGGCAGCCAGGAGCTGCGGGGGGGGGGGGGGGGTTGCGGAGGGGGGTGCGGGTGGGTGTGGGTGCGGGTGGGTGGGTGCTGCCGTGTCCCCTTCTGCTCCTCTTCTCCCAGCGCCCCCCCCCAACATCCCTGTGCCCCCCCCCAAAATCCCTGTGCCCCCCGCAGCATCCTTGTGCCCCCCATCCCTGTGCTTCCCCCAAAATCCCTGTGTCCCCCCATCCCTGTGCCCCCCCAGCATCCCTATGCCCCCCATCCCTGTGCCCCCCCAGCATCCCTGTGCCCCTCCATCCTTGTGCCCCCCCTTCCCTGTGCCCCCCCAGCATCCCTGTGCCCCCCCATCCCTGTGCCCCCCATCTTTGTGCCCCCCCAGCATCCCTGTGCCCCCCATCCCTGTGCTCCCCCCAAAATCCCTGTGCCCCCCCTAGAATCCCTGTGGCCCCCCCTCAAAATCCCGGTGCCCCCCCCAGCATCCTTGTGCCCCCCCCCGCACTCCTGTGATCCCCCCAACATCCCTGTGATTCCCTCATCCCTGTCCCCACATCTCTGTGCCCCCCCCCCCAAATCCCTGTGCCCCCCCCAGCATCCCGTACGGGAGACTGGGCTGGGGCGGGGTGTGACTGCAAACCCAGGGAGCCCCCCCAAAACCAGCCCAACCGCTGTTCCAAATTTCCGAATTTTGCTTTCCACGGCGAAATTATGGTGGTGGGGGTTTGGTTTTTTTTTGTTTGTTTGTTTGGGGTTTTTTTAGTTTTTTTTTTTTTTTTGTTGTTGTTGTTCTTTTTTTTTGGCTTGTTTTGTTGGGTTGGCTTTTTTGTTGTCGTTATTTTTGTCGCTGTTTTTTCTCAGGCTGGTACCCAGTGGCCGGGCGTTGCTGGAACGGGCAGGATTTCGCACCACTTCTGGAAACATCCGACAAAAAACGGTCCCGGAAAGCTGCTGGGAAGCTCTTTGGAGAGACGGCCCCCCCCCCTTTGGGGGGGATGGCCCCCCCCCCCGGCTTTGGGGGGGGGGTCGTGCGGGGGTGCGGGTCGGCAGAGCTGGAGGTGCTTGGCGTCCCTGGGCTGCTGCCCTCTCCCCGTGACACCCCCCCCCCACCCGAGATTTCCTGTTTTCCCCCTGGATCCCCCTTTTCCCCCCCTTTGGGGAGCTGCCCTTGCGGCGGGGGCTGACCCTGGCAGCAGCAGTGAGCGCTGGGGGGGGGTCGGGGGGGGTCGTTTTGCCTTTTGCACTCCGGTGTTGCAGCCACCGTGAGCGTCAGTGCTCCTCACCACTGGGCGCCAGGCACCCCAAATACCCCGGGCACCCCCAATACCCCGGGCACCCCCAATACCCTGGGCACCCCAATCACCCTGAGCACTCTGGGGACCCTAAATACCCCGGGGACCCCCAGCACCATGGGCACCCTGGGCACCCTGAGGATCCCAAATACCCTGGGCACCCCAAGAAACCCCGGCACCCTAAGCACTCTGGGCACCCCGGGGACCCCAAATACCCCAGGCACCCCAAGCACCCTGGATACCCTGAGCACCCCAAGCACCCTGAGGACCTCAGCCACCCCAAGCACCCCCAGGATCCCAAATACCCCGGGCACCCCAAGCACCCTGGGCACCCTGACCACCCCGGGGACCCCAAATACCCGGGGCACCCCAAGAAATCTTGGCACCCCAAGGACCCTGGGCACCCTGGGCACCCCAAATACCCCGGGCACCCCAAGCACCCTGAGCATCCCACATTCTCCAAGAAACTTGGGCACCCTGAGCACCCCGAGCACCCCGAGCACCCCAAGCACCCTGAGCACCCCGAGCACCCTGAGCACCTCGAGCACCCCGAGCACTCCGAGCACCCTGAGCACCCTGAGCACCCCAAGCACCCCGAGCACCTCGAGCACCCCAAGCACCCTGAGCACCCCGAGCACCCTGAGCACCTCGAGCACCCCGAGCACCCTGAGCACCCCAAGCACCCCAAGCACCCTGAGCACCCCGAGCACCCCGAGCACTCCGAGCACCCCGAGCACCTCGAGCACCCTGAGCACCCTGAGCACCCCAAGCACCCTGAGCACCCTGAGCACCTCAAGCACCCCAAGCACCCCGAGCACCCCGAGCACCCTGAGCACCCTGAGCACCCCAAGCACCTCGAGCACCCCGAGCACCCCGAGCACTCTGAGCACCCCGAGCACCCAATCAGGGAATCCTCAGCCCCCTCTGCAGACCCCACACCACTGCCACCCGGGGACAGCCCCCCCAGCAAAGCACCCCCGTCACCCCACTCCCCACCCCCCCACACCCCCCGGCACCGGGGTCCCCTGCTCCCCGTGTCCCAGTCGGGGGGGACACAGCGGGGCTCACCCTCCGTCCTGGGGACCAGCGAGTGCAGGATGCGGCCTGGGGGGGCCCTGGGGTCCCCGCCTGGCCCGGGGGGGGCGGTTTGGGACCCTCGATGCGCTGCGGTGGGTGAGTGGCCACAGCCCCACGCTGGCTGTGGGCTTGGGCTGCACGGGGGGCTATTTTGGGGGTGGTTTTTGTTTTTTTTTTTGTTTGTGTTTTTTTTTTTTTTTTTGTGTGTGTGTGGGTTTTTTTTTGTTTTGTTTTCTTTTTTGTT